GGTGCGCCGTCCAGACCAGATTCAAGGGCCTTCGCGGCACGGAGTCGTCTCTCGTGTTGCCTTGGACGAGGCGGGCCGGATGAAGTTCTGGATCAACAAGCTGGAGACAACGTCGGTGGCCGGGAACGGCGCCGCTCCTGCGCAGGTCGAGCGCCGTCGTCTCTGCTACCTTATGAAGTGGCGACCCGAGCTCGACTTCCTGTCCAAGAACCAATTATTGGAGTTCTGTCGATCTCGACAACCAACGGTGGAAGAGCCGGTCGCCTTCTATGATGACCTCGAAGTCCTACTTCTTTACTATGCCCGGAGGACTCTGGCCTCAATTCACAACTTGAGCATCGCAGATCTGCCGACGCATCTCCAGAAATACGTCGCGTGGCTGCAGTGGCAGCTCGGACGGTACGAGTCCGGACAGGTCTCCGCCCACAGAAAAGAAGAGCTCCTGGATCAGAGTCAGAATGAAGACCTCGCATCACGCATCGCGGACCGCATCAAAGCGAGCACCGAAGGAAAGCTCTACGTCGCCGTGGGCAGAAATCTGCCCGACATCCTCGCTGGAGCCGTCGATCCGCTGGAGCTGCTGTACCGCGACGGTCTCGCGGCCGAACACTACCAGGTCGTCTGCGACACGATCCTCAGCTGCAAGCATCTCCGGCCATATGTCGACGCGCTGGCGCACAAGCATCCGTCCATGAAGATCTTGGAACTCGGTGCCGGGACGGGCTCGATCACCGGCCACGTCCTCGGGGCTCTCCTTGGAGATGACGACGATACTGACCCGAGCACGGCCCGATTCTCGCAATACGATTATACTGATATCTCAGAGGCTTTCTTCGAGAAAGCGAGAGAGCGGTTTGCGCCATGGGGTCGAAAGATGGCGTTCAAGACACTGGATATCGAGCGTGACCCTGAGAAACAGGGGTATGAGGTCGCAGGCTACGATCTCATCGTCGCAGCTTGGGTAAGTTGACCCTCCTAGTATATTTATTACTGGAAAAGAGAACTTAAATGAGGCAGGTGCTGCATGCAACTCGGGATCTCAACGCGACGCTCCGGAATGTGAGGAAACTGCTCAAGCCGTGAGTTATTCTGACCCATCATGCTTAATACAAACCTATATCACTAAACCGTATCACGTCGCAGAGGCGGGAAGCTTGTTCTCCTGGAAATCACCAAGCCCCAAATCTTGAGACACGGATTCATATTCGGAACGCTGCCTGGTTGGTGGATTGGTAAGATCAAGAACTCACTCCGCGGGAGTTGAGCAACGCTAACAGAGACACAGGAAGCGAGGACTATCGGGAATGGGGCGCCTGCATCACCGAAGAGAAGTGGGAGCAAGTACTCACGGAGAACGGCTTTCACGGTATCGACGTCACGCTCCCGGACTACGAGACTGAGAGTTGTCAAGAGCATAGCATTATAGTTGCCACCGCTGCTGAGACCCGAGTCGACTTGCCCGACCAGAGACGCATCACTATCATCATTGACGCCAAATCACCGTTGCAAGCTGACCTAGCGGATGTCATTCGTGGCCAGCTGAAGCAGTCGGGTAAAATCGACTGCCAGGTCTCCTCGATCGATGATCTTGCGGCGCTGAACCTGGACGAAATATCCTTGGTGGTTATGCTGCCAGAGATTGAGACGCCACTGTTGGCCGATCTAGACGAGGCCAAGTTCCAGGCTTTGCAGGATTTCCTCTGCAGGTGCCCGGACCTTCTTTGGGTAACAGCAGCAAGGAAGAACAGCATCACTTCTGCTCAGCGGCACAGTGTGCAAGGCCTGGCTCGTGTTCTCAGCACAGAGAAGCCAAACTCATCGTTCATTACATTGTCCTTGGAAGACCACAAAGACGAGCCGACTGTGTGGGCGGCGCACGTCCAGAACGTTATCTCGTCTCGAATCTCGGACCCATGGGAGCTCGAGTTCCAGGAACAAGACGGGATCTTGCATGTCAATCGAGTCGCCGAGGCCAACGAGTTCAACGACAGCATCTTCGACAAGACCGTGGCGACGGCCAAGACGCGGCCGCTCAAACAAAACGTGCCCTTGAAGATGAAGGTCGCGAACCCGGGCTTCCTGGACTCGACACTCTTCGTCGAAGACGACGACTACTGCCAGTTCGATCTTCCGCCGAATGAGATCGAGATCGAAGTTAAGGCCTCGGGGATTAACTTCCGAGACTTGCTCGTCATGCTGGGAAAGTACAGGGACGCCGACACGGTCGGATGCGAATGCGCCGGAATCGTCACCCGCGTGGGCTCCAATTGCACGACTTTGAAGCCGGGTGATCGTGTGTGCGCCGTCGTGATGGACTGCATCCGCACGTTCGCTCGCTGCGACTATCGTCAAGCGGCGAAATTGCCCGAGAACCTGACATTTGGCACAGCCGCGGCAATTCCTGTCACCGGGGTCACGGCTTACCATTCGCTGGTGAAGATCGCACATCTCCAGAAGGGTGAATCGATCCTCATCCACTCCGGTGCGGGCGGCACCGGGCAGATGGCGATACAGATCGCGCAGAGCATCGGCGCCGAGGTCTTCGTCACAGTGGGCTCGGACGAGAAGAAAGAGCTGCTAAAACAGCGGTACCAGCTCCCCGAGGATCACATCCTGTACAGTAGAGATCTGTCCTTTGCGCAAAATCTCTTGCGGCTGACGCACGGCCGTGGCGTCGACGTGGTTCTCAACTCCCTGTCTGGAGACGGCCTGATTGCCTCGTGGGAATGTATCGCACCTTTCGGCCGGTTCGTAGAACTTGGAAAGGCCGACGTCGAGAGCAATTCTAAGCTGCCGATGGTTCAGTTCGCGAAGAACGTGACGTTTTCCGTGGTTGCACTGGACTATATGTGTATGGAAAACCCCGCCATGGTCAACGCATCGCTGCAAGAGGTCATGAAGATGGTGGATGCCGGCACCCTGCAGCCTGCTTGGCCATTGCAAGAGTTCCCCATCTCCAAAATCGAGGATGCCTTCCGACTGATGGCGGGCGGGAAAGGTGCCGGGAAGCTGGTCATCAATCTGGATCCTGATGATCTCGTGCCGGTAAGCCAATCTGCAGGATTTACATTCCAGTCTACTAACGTATATCAAAGACTCTCATGAATCATCAGCCGTCATACAGGCTTTCCTCCGACGCAACCTATCTCATTGCCGGAGGCTTGGGAGGTCTAGGCCGCAGCGCCGCGCGCTGGATGGCGGACATGGGGGCGAGACACCTCATCCTGCTGTCGAGGTCGGGACCCAAATCGGAGGCGGCTCAAGAGCTCCTGAAGCAGCTCGAAGCAATGGGGGTGCGTGTCAAGGCGCCCAGATGCGACGTCACGTCCCAGGATGCACTATCTGCTGCCCTGGCCGAATGTCGCGACCTGCCTCCGATCAGGGGATGCATCCAAGGCACCATGGTCCTCCAGGACG